GCTCCTACTTTCAGAAATGTAGTACTTTTCTCGAATGGGTGGTGCGGGTCGAGGCAGGGAGCGGTTCAGTGGTGTACTATTTGGATGATTTCCTTTGTGTGGGGCCAGCTGGAAGGGCTACAGGGGGCGGTGGCAGCTGTGGCACTGGCACGCAAGGTCACCCTGCGGCAACTGCAGTTGTTGATTGGGATGCTAAACTTTGCATGCCGTGTGATACCAATGGGTAGAGTCTTCCCCATGCCATTTCATTCGAGTGTCTGCGGCCATGAGGGCCGACTTGGACATATGGGATACCTTCCTGCGGGATTTCAACAGGACGGTGTTCTTCCGGCAGGAGGGCATGTCGGCAGCGGAGTTGGAGCTGTTCACAGACGCGTCGGGTAGTGTGGGCTTCGGGGCATACTTCGGCGGGAGATGGTGTGCGGAGAGGTGGCCGGAAGCGTGGGGGTCAAGCACCCTCATGCGCAAACTGGCTTTCCTGGAATTGTTCCCGTTGGTCGTCGCAATGGCACTGTGGTGTGAGGGGCTGCGGGAACAGAAAGTGGTCTTTGTCTCAGACAACATGGCAGTGGTGCACGCAGTGAATAATCAGTCCGCTGCTTCAAAGCCAGTGGTTAGGTTGCTGCGGTGCCTTGTGTTAATGTGCATGTTGCAAAATGTAGTTTTTTGCGCGTGCCAGGTTCCTGCGTACTTGAACGAAGTGGCTGACGCTCTGTCTCGTTTTCAGTGGTCCCGATTCCAGACGGTGGCACCGGAGGCATTGAAAGTGGGTCAGGCATGCCCGAACGAGATATGGCAGCTGGGAGCATCCTGCTTGGGGGACTTGTGAAGGCTTCACTGGCGCCGGCCACGTGGGCCCCCTACAGTAAAGTCTGGGACTCTTGGGAACAGTCGTTGGGAGGGCTGGATCGCGTATTAAGGGGGGAGTCGCAAGACTTTTCTGTGGTATACTTGTCAATTGCTGGCAAAGGGGGCGTCCCTGGTGGTGGTTGACAAGTCCATGGCAGCGTTGGCTTTCTGGTTCAGGCTGCGCAGAAAGGAGGATCTTACCAAGACCTTCGTCATCAGGCAAGCGTTGAAGGGGTATCGGCAGGGCCGCTCCCAGAAATTTTGGGGCCCATAACTGAGCTCAGGGTCTGGGCCCCTGGGGGCCTGCCTCCAAAACCGCCCACAGAGACCGCCTCCAAATCCCGCCCACAGGAATACACACACAGACACAAACACATTCACTGATACAAAAGGACCCACACACACACACACACACACACACACACACTGATACATACTAACAGACACACATACTGATACACATATATGCATACATACTGACACACACATACTGAGACATACACACATATACAGACACACAGGTGTACATAGTGATAGACACATACTAACATACATACAGACACACATACTGATACGCATATAGGCATACATACTGACACACACATACTGAGACATACACACATATACAGACACACAGGCGTACATAGTGACAGACACATACTAACATACATACAGACACACATGCATAAGGACATTCATACTGGCATACATACATTCATGCAGACAGACATACACTGACATTCATACACACATAATGACATGCATACAGACATGCATACATACAGACATACATACAGACATACATTCATACTGGCATACATTCATACAGACACTGACATCCATACATAAACACATTCATAATGATATACAGACATACATTCATACTGTCATACATACATTCATACAGACAGACAGACATTCATACACACATAATGACATGCATACAGACATAAAGGCATGCATACAGACATGCATACAGACATACATACATACAGACATGCATTCATACTGTCATACATACATTCATACAGACACTGACATCCATACATACACACATTCATAATGACATGCAGACATACATACACTGACATTTATACACACATAAAGACATGCATACAGACATACAGACATGCATACAGACAGACATCCATACATAATCACATAGATACATACACACAGACATAGACATACATACATACAGACATAGATTCACATACACACACAGCTCATTTTCCAGCCACCCTCCTGTCTCTTACCATGTCTTTGCAGGAGACTGGCTGGGGCTGATGGGACTGGGAGTCGGCTGGCTCTCCCTCTTCATTGCCGGGTGTGTGCTCCTTCCGCACGGAGTGAGCTGGGAGGAAGTGACCACTTCCTCCCAGCAGCACTTGCGCTGCAGCTGCATTTTTTTTTTTTTTTTAAAGGGGCCCGGTCGCGCTATACCACGGCCACAGTGCTGACCGGGCCTCTGAAGATATGGCCCCATCAGCGTGCAGGCCCGGGTGGAACCGTTATGGTTGTCACCCCCTGTTGGCAGGCCTGAGTATCGGAGGTGCCCGGTGTTGGTGCGGATGTTGGGGGATCTGGTCAGAATGTTGCCTGAGGTTTGTTTCAACGGGTTTGAGGCGTCTCTGTTCAAGGCAGCCTTTTATTGGCCTTTTTCGGGGCTTTCCGAATAGGGGAGTTGGTGAGCGCTAATAGGGCTGCGCCCGGGGGTCTACTGGTTTCGGGGGTTTGGGTTCTGGAAGGGAAAGTGGTGGTGCACCTGTCCAAATCCAAGACGGACGTCAACGGCGTGGGCGTGAAACTACGGGCCTTACCAGGCGCTGCACTGTGCCCGGTGGCCGCAGTGGCGGAGTACCTGGCCCGGAGACCGGCGGTAGGGGGATCCCTGTTGGTACGTGCGGATGCTCTTACCTTTCCCAATTCCAATTTACCAAGGTTTTTCGGTTGGGCCTAAGGAAGATGGGGCTACGGGCGGAGAGATTTGGAACACACTCCTATCGCATTGGGGCGGCAACGGAGGCCACACGGCTGGGTTTGGGGCATGAGATAGTGAAGCAAATAGGGAGATGGGAGTCGGTGCGGTTCCGTTCATATGTGCGGTTGGGTTTACTGGATTTAAAAAAAAAAAAAAAGTGGGCCTATCGGGGGGATCCCGGTAGGGGCGGGGGTTATTTCTTCTTTTGATTTCTCTCACTGTCTGTTTTCTTCTCCTCCCCAGGCCGTGTTGCGTGGATCGTGGGCCATTCTTTTGTCTTCTGGGCCGAGAGGAGGGCTGCAGCTCGAGCTCAGGGCCAGCAGCTGGGCTTTGCAAGGGACCAGTTGGCAGTGCAATGGTTTGGGTACAGGGGATTTTGCTGGGGGGAGGTCTGCGGGGCAGTGTTTCGGAAGATAGCGGGTGGGCAAAAACCGGACCTGCTGGTCCTCCATGCGGGGGGCAACAACTTGGGCCTAACACCGCAACGACGGCTGGTGAAGTGGATGAAGCAGGACCTCAACAAATTGAGGGACCTGCTTTCTAGGGTAATGTTAGTTTGGTCGGAGATGGTCCCGAGGTGCCGGTGGCGGCACGTGCGGGATCCAGTGGCTATTGATAAGTGCAGTAAGAAAGTGAACAGCTTGATGGCAAGCTTCGTGAAGAAACTGGGGGGAGTGGTAGTGCGACACAGCGAGTTGGAAGGCGGGTTGCCAGGGTACTACCGCTCGGATGGTGTTCATCTCTCGACGATGAGTTGGGATCTGCTGAACTTGGGTTGGCAGGAAGGAATGCAGAAGGCGCTATTTCTTCGGGGTGGTGGAGCTCAGACAGCTTAAGGGATCAAGGTCTGAGCTTGTGGCGGGATAGGAAGCTGAAGGAGAAGAAATAGGCTCCCCAGGATGAACGTGATGGAAACAAAAAAAGTTGTGGTCATCGGTGGTTGATAGGTTTCGAGTCCTGTCGGTGGCTCAAAACCTGGTGGGGCAGGAGTATCCGGGTATACCCCTGCAGTGGTTAATGTAGGGTTGGCACTTTAAGTTGGTATGTTGGAATAATGTTGGTGGATGATATATATATATATATATATATAAATATATATGTGTTATTTATATGGGGGTCATTGCCTTTTATATGAACAGAAGGATTCAGATGCGAGGGCGGAGTATGGGGGGCAATGACCCATGTTCTACTTGTTAAGTTATTATTATTATTGTTATTATTATTATAATTATTAGAATGGTTATTACTTAAGATTGTTTAATAAAGCTGTGGACAAATTTTCCCATATACCCTAGTGTCTGTGCGTTATTGGGTTAGGTATGTGGGGTGATTGTTCTGGATTCCGACTGCCCAGATGGCAACTATACACCGGTCATGAAAAGACCGCTCACTTGGAGAATATTTACAGTTTGGCTACTGAGGCCAGAAACAAAATAGAATTGAGTTTTTATTTTTTTTAATGGGTAAAATGAAAGTTTTAAAGGAAGTGTTTGTCAACACGTGTATATGCTATGAACGTCAACGTAGCAATAGGGCACAACAGGGCTACTTACTAAAGTGAGAATTCAGAGTTAATTCAAAGTGAAGTTTAAACGTAAGGTCAAAATAGCTGAAGTGGAAAAATTCTTTAAGTTTGCTATACTTTCAATTCACCTACACAGGTTTTAAATGTGAAATTCACTTAAAATCTCACTTCAGTAAATAACCCCGTAAGTAGACCCAGTGCATTTTGTAGAGACAATTGTGTTGAGCAATATTTTGGAATGGGTAATCCATCTGGATATTTGCTGCTTAGAAGCTAAGAACATTAAAAGCCTCTATTTAAATACTTGTTTACAAATAACATGATGTTTAACCCCTTAAGGACGGATTCTGAATTTGAGCTATATGTCCGTTCAACCATAATTTGCCTTTTTTCATATTAAGTGCACCCACACATTGTATATAATTTTGTTCAAGAGAAATAGGTCTTTTATTTCACATAAAATATTTATATATAAAACATGGGCGGGGCCTGACTGCCATGCTGAGTTGCTGTACTTTGTTTGAGCTCTGTGTGAAAAGCGTAATTTTAACTCTTTATTGGGCTGTTTGGTGAAAAAAATCACTCATAGAGTTTTTAACTGTGAATGTCATAATATTGTTGGCTTTTACTGCAATAAACATCTGTGTTCAGCAAAGTCTCACATGTACAACAGTACCCCCTATGCACAGATTTTATGGAGTTTTGGAAAATTACAGGGTCAAATATAGGGCTTTGTCCTTTTTTACACATTGAAATTTGCCAGATTGGTTTGCATGGCTTTATGGCCGCCCAGGAATGAAAATTACCGCAATCATGGCATACTATTTGCAAAAGTAGACAACCCAAGGTATTCAAAATGGGGTATGTAAATACTTTTTTAGAAGCCACTTCGTCACAAGCCTTGGCCAAACTTATCGTTCATATGTTTTTCGCATTTGTCACACAAATACTGCATTTTCAGTGATATTATCATTATTATATGCTTTACTGTTTGAAAACACCATATTTGTGTTCAGCGAAATCTTTTGAGTACAAAAATACCACCATGTACAGGTTTTATGGTGTTCTAGAAAGTTACAGGGTCAAATACAGGGCTTCCAAATGAAATTCTCTGGACTATCTGCCTGGGTTCTAAGACAGGTTCCTTAATTACAATTAATAAAATCACATTATTATGTAAAAATAATAAATATATGTAACGGCACCCTCAGCATCAAATAGTTAAAACCGCCGTTTAGTTAATTCTCCACTCTCGCAAAAACGCAAACTTCATTCGTACAGACTCCAATCGTACGAACTGTAATCAGGGGGAATGTGCCAATCTCCCGAACGGGACCCGTACGGGTGCTCCAACTCCAAAACGGTAAACCCACAAATCGCTGCTAACAGCCGAATCAGTATATCCTCCAAGCGGCTTACACTTCCATCAATCAGTCGCTATCCGTGTGTAGTAAATCCCCCCCAATAACGAGACCAAGCTCCGCATTGAGGGTAAAACAAGAACTGGGTTTACTGTGGACTACCTGCCCGTATTTATGCAGGTCTCCCACTTGGTGGACACTCCCCTAGGGGACCAAATGGGAGACTGTAATGGCAGACAGATATATAGCATGTTAGGACACAGAGGCACAGAATATTCCCAGCATGCATCATGGTTTCCTCCCCTCTGCCCTGGAGATAATTGAGAAGTAATTAAATTATCTCCCAGGACAGAGGCAAATCGCCATTTTAAATGAAACATAAAAAACACATAAAAATAAGTAATTGTACAAATACCGAACATATTCCGTTCGTGCAACATATCCCCAGATAGCCTGGATCTGAGTGCATATTCTTAGCGAATAGCGCTCAGATCCCATACACACAGTTCAATCGCCATGGAGTCAAAGTCTTTTACAGTCTTTCGGTATGTGATTGACTCCATGGGAAGGCTGTCTGGGTTAAGTCCATTCGTGTAATCCAAACTCCCGAACGGCCGGTGTTCGCATGGTTTGTCGACTGAGAAGGGCGGTCTGTGGTTTTAGCGGTGTTCGGCAGAAAAAGTGTCCGTTTTTAGTTCCATAGAATCTGTGCCGAACACCGCTGGTCTTTCACATGGTTTAAAATGGCCAAACGCCTCGTGGTCGACATACGAACAACGACCACCCTGTATTCGGTTATAATTAAGAAGTGTC